GAAGCTTGTACTTAACTGGGCATCTTTTATTGTAGTTACTTACCCTAGATGAAGCTTGTACTTAACTGGGCATCTTTTATTGTAGTTACTTACCCTATATGAAATTTGTACTTAATTGGGCATTTTTATTATAGTTATTTATCTTGCATGAAGCTTGTACTTAACTGGGCATCTTTTATTGTAGTTACTTACCCTATATGAAATTTGTACTTAATTGGGCATTTTTATTATAGTTAACCTTGCATGAAGCTTGTACTTAACTGGGCATCTTTTATTGTAGTTAGTTACCTTGCATGAAGCTTGTACTTAACTGGGCATCTTTTATTGTAGTTAGTTACCCTACATGAAGTTTGTACTTAACTGGGCATTTTTTATTATAGTTACTTACCTTGCATGAAGCTTGTACTTAACTGGGCATCTTTTATTGTAGTTACTTACCCTAGATGAAGCTTGTACTTAACTGGGCATCTTCTATTGTAGTTACTTACCCTACATGAAGTTTGAACTTAACTGGGCATCGTTTACTGTAGTTATTTACCCTACATGAAGTTTTGTACTTAATTGGGCATTTTTATTATAGTTACCTTGCATGAAGCTTGTACTTGAATGCTCAGTGCCAAGTATGGTTTCATCAACTAAAGTAAAATAATAAGAAAATATGTTCTCACTTACACTTTTTCTCTAATAAGTCTCACAATATTCTCTCCAACTTCAGCAAAGGAACTTTTTATCTCTGAATATCGCTCTTTACCTAGTGTTCGTATCTAATGTGCAAAAATTACAAATTTAAAAGAAAATTATTCTACAGTGTATTAATATGAAAATATTAACAAACATTTGTGCAGTTTAATGAAAGTTGCGTTAAAACCTAAAGGGGCTATTACAATATCAATTAAAATGTAAATCAACAGCCCATTAACTCTATATCCTCTGTCTACAGCATTATCATTATAATTGTATTAACTATGAAAGCAATTTTTCACATTGCACCAATAAGTTGTATTATACTTAGGAAAATCTAAAGAGTTATACACCATAAAAATATATGATAAGCTACTTCCTAACTAACCTTCTTTTTGAAATACACAGAAAGGTAAAAGCCCTCATCTTGGTTAATTTTCTCCTTAAAGCATGGAACAATGACATATAGTACTTGTAATAAACTACCTTATAACAACAAATTTATTATTTTTTAATCAGACACTCAACATTTTGCTGTAAAGCTTCTTCAGAATCATTCCCCAAAAACACAAATCATAACTGACAGTACAAATCTTCATCTGATTTAAATAATAAATTCTAATCGAGTCCATACTGTGCATTTCTACAGCATGCGTTTGACATATTAAGTAGTAAAGCTTATTTTTGAAATAATTAACTATTACCTGTAACAAACAAAAGTTTTATCCGAGTTACAGACTGAAATAACAAAAGTTAAAATGAGATACAAATATAATTTTAGACACCATCCTTTGTCCCTATTCATTTGTGGTTCGTAGTTGTTCAATGAAAAGAGCTTCTTTAAATTTACTGTCAGTGTACTTGATAGATTTGTTAAGGTTTGTACAGAGAATGGTGGATTCATGTCAGGTGTTATTTGTCCATGTTAGTTAAAAAATGATCTACAACTGCACTTTTTTCATGTTGTTGTTTATAAAGAGAGTCAATCAGTTCTCCTGTTCTTCTGGTTTCCCCAATGTATGTATGATGACAGATGTTACATGTAAGTTAGTAAACAACAATGGAGACAATACACTCATATTTAGACTGCAAACACATTTTTGTAGAGCTAATAGTTGGCTTTATTACAATGTAGAGTAACATACTGAGATTTGGAAAGTTGACTTTTGAGATTTGGACCTGGCCATTCCACAACTTTAATCAGCAGTTCAGGTTTCCTGATTATAGTTTTTATTTTCTTGGAGATAGTTTGTCAATTAGAGGTAATGTAGAAGTAAGCTTTTTGTGTTATCTTTGGAAAATTGTCTTTAAAACTCTTGTATTTTGTCTGTGTTTTTTCATGTTGGATGTGCAATGCTAATTTTTATGCATCGTAGTCCTTGAAAATTTTTTGATACAAAAAATGGATATTCGTTACTCAAAAGGAGTGATTGTAGTTCAGTGTGTTTTATTTTTTTCACTACAATTGCAATTGATTCTTTTTAAATCTCCAATAATTGCATCTCACTTGGAAGCTATTGGATGAAGTTGAAGTTAAGAAAGAGAGGCTTTCTAATTGTTTTTTAAAACAAGGTGGATTGTATATTATTGTCTGAAATTAAGTAATGGGTTTTTCCCATGTCAACCATGTTTTTGGTAGTGCAACCTTGCTAACTCTAACTCACACTCTTAAAATCACAAGAACAACAGCTCAAGTTGGTTTCCTGATTAAGTGTCGTCAGTATAAGATTGTCCCTAAAGATATTCAGATTCATTTGAAATTACCAGAATGTATGAAAGAAAATCAGAAATCATAGAAAAGGTTGGTTAGGTCTCTCTCTCTTCCATTATGAATGACTTAATAACAATGTTATTTGGAAAGAAAAATATACACCTAAGACTAATCCATCAAAACCGTATAATTTTAAATATCTCCCAAAATAAGTTCCCAGTTTCAATTCTTGGCTCATGAATATTAAAGAGAAGAGAATGTCAGTCAAGAATTGATGATAAATTGAGAAGTATATATGATGATCAAATCATCAAATAGAAGACTTTCATTACAAATGTTAATAATGACCAACAAAACGTCTGTAGACTTAGATTCAAAATTTTATTGAACTAATCTTTTATGAATGTATGTCCATAAGTTTGGTATCAAATTGTAGATTGTAATTCAAATTTTAGTATTATATGTTAGTTAATTTCTTAATTTAAAAGTAAATATTAAAAAACACCTAAATATCGATTTTTGTGAGTCATGTGGTATGTTTAATGCAGCTTTGGTTCAACTCAAATGTTTGTGATGTCCAAATACAAAGTCTATAGTTTTTCTTACAAATAAGAAACTCAAATTATCAATATTTACAAGCTAGAATATAAAATAAGAACCTCCTATCTTTCCTGTTTGGCAGTTTTTTTAAGTCTTTCACATAAAAAATCTTTTTTTTAGTGAAGTATTTTTAATAAACTAAAATAAAGATTTGTCAATGAATATATTGAATAGTCTGTGTGCAAAGTAATTTTCATGTTAAGATTAAAAATACTTTTCCTCATCTCAAATTTCTTTTGTGTAATCCCTAAAACCTCCTAAATGTATTTCAAACGTTTTTTTTAGTAAAACTTTATAGTTTATCTGTTATTTTCTCTATGCCATCTCAAACCGGGATTGGTCAATTCGACTGACCTCGTAACCACAAAAAAAAAAAAAAATCGAAATAAATATGAATTAACTTTTTTTCTTTCTAGAATGACTTCAGATCATAACTTGAAACTACATTCGTTTATCTTAAGTAGCTCTACGTTTGTACAATATACATCTATTTATAATTAAATTTTATTGTTCTATTGTCCTTTGAACCGTGTCTAAGTACTATTCGTGCCATTATAAGTTGTAAATAACTCGGGGAACATGCAGCTCATGTTGCTCTATTGAATTACATTACCCATGAGCTGCTCACATGCATTCCTCATGAACCGTTTTTAATTATGTTATTATTATTGTTGCTTATTTACCTAATCTAGTCTTAAATAACTTAAAAAGATCTCTATTTTTAGATCTTAGTTACTTTTATAATAATAAATAAAGAATAAAAATGAAAACAAGAAATAAAGTACATACCCAATCTTTTTTCTTACCCTCGATTGTCAAGGACAGTTAAACCTGATTTTTTTATAGTAATGCACTTAACAATTTTTATTTAATTAAATAATGCACCAAAGAATATAGACTAATAACATGCAAAAAGCAGACAAATTCACTTACCTCTCAAAATTTTCCTGGCTTTCTAACTATGTGAAAAGAGCTGTTACAAATTCATCCAAGCTAGTGGTTAACTTTCCCATGGGAATGAATCTTGTACTGTGTGTGAAATCGAAGATATTCTGTTCAGAATACAACATTATACAATATGTCATTTGATAGATGAAAACCTTGACTTTCTATTGGTCATAGGTAATATATTATGAAACGTAAGAGAAAACTATCAGCGAATTGTGTAAGAGAGGATGTGACAGGAGAGGTCTGATTTTCTATTTGATAGCTCTGTAACCAAACAAAATTGGAGGCTATAAATTTATGGTTTGTTTGAGCAATAACGATTTTACAGAGAGTATTTTACATTTAATTTCATGCATTTTTGAGGGGTGATGGATAAAATAGGGTTGATGACATGCTAAGACAAAATGTGTTACGTGGATCACACTAGTGGAAATTCAGGATTTTTTAAAATATTTCCTTGTAGAGTTAAGAATTTAAAACTTG